GACGAAAGCAGCCAGGAGACTTGCTGGAGCACACCCATGCTGCACAGTATATCATTAAACGTACAGCACTGGTTACAACTTCATTATGTCTCTGATCGAGGGACTTTTAGCTACATTCTTCTGCATTTAGAGAAAGGCACTAAGCTGCTTGGTCAAGGCAACACAATGATTATTAGAAATCTTTAATAAAATTTAATTCTTAGTGTAATAATAGGCCTTGTAACTGCAGAAAGGCTTCTGTCCTCCACACTTGTATCAGTAATGCAAAAGTATATTTGTTAACAGATGTACGCAGGCGTATAACTTGATAATGCCTCAATGTAATGCAACACTTTAAAAATTCACCACATATTTCTTCCATTGTGATATATACGTAGGTGTTGGACAGCAGTGATTTTCTTTTAGTGTGTTGCTGTAATCTGGTACAAATATACCAGAAAAGCACATTGCTGGTTTAATAATTGGAAAAATCTAAAAATATATTTAGAAGCAGATCTCCTATAAATAAAAACAAGGGAAACCAACTGAGACATTCAAGCTGTACTAAATGCCAAGAGTGATGCTGCATATTAAATAGGGAAATTACAGGAAGGGCTGGTTATGGGATAAATATTTATATTTATATTTATTCAGTATTTAGAAAAATCTCTTTCATACACACGGTGAACCAAGAGGCATCTTAACCAGTCACATCCGTGAGACTTGTTTACATTCATAATAAACATTTTCCCACTCATGATTTTAAAAAATGTTTACACTCTTTCATTGTAGTAGAGTTGAACAATGAAATCCTCATGAAAAATCATAGCATGAAAAGATGGTAAAGACTGAGGAAGAATATTGCATTCATTTGATTTTTAACAACTTTAACAGCCAAGCTTACAGCTGGAGTATTATGGCTGTCTGACTATATAGAGACTCGTGGCAACTGCTATACGGTTAGGAAGGACAAAAGAAAACATAAAAGTGAGAAAATGCTTGTTTGACAGAAACTCAGAGCACACCGAATCCTCTCTTGTTTTCTTTATAAAGATATATAAAGATACAGAATTAAAAGAATTAAAATCCCCCATAACAGTTCTGTTATCAATATACTTCTTACTGTAGGTACTGCATATACAATTCCATTAAAAAATCCCCATTTGCTGCCTTTCCACCAGCTGTAAAAACAACAATTTTGATCATTTCTAAATATTCAAAGAAAGAAATGAATGAACTACACCTCATGGAGCACGGTTAAAAATTGTCTTTAGTTGTAAGATCTCCCCAGTATTTGACTGTTCTGGTACATTAAATTAACTAGGAACAAGTAATAGGTTTATTCCATGCTGAAAAGAGAAGAAAGAAAACACGTTTCGGCTGTGGAGCCTTCTTCAGGTGCAAGTTAATTAAATTAAATTAATATTTAGGAATAGGTACATGTAAAGGTTTATTCCACACTGAAAAGAAAAGAAATGAAACACAATGTTTCTGGTCTAGAGCATTCTTCAGGTTAAGAAACTCACTATCACAATCTCGTGTATCATTTCTTTTCCTTTCAGCATGGAATAAACCTTTACCTGGTCCTTAGCCTGTGCGTGCTGATGCAGGTCCCCACCCCCAACTTCTTTTCATTGAGTTATTTCTAATCTACATACATTAAAAATGCATTTTTACATTTTTGTTGACATCATGTACATCTGCAGCAAAACCAACCTAGGTGTCTAAGTTATTATGTTATCCAAAATCTCAGACAGTAAAAGCAAACAGTCTTTTTGTTTTTGTATAACAGAGAAAGAAGCAATAAGGCTAGCAGATGAAATATACAATTTATAAATATCCCACTGAGGGACAGTTGTAACACATGTGCTTTAAAATTAGGTAATAGAATTGTCAAGGGAGTGAAGGAGGAAAACATTTGATGTTGCAGTATATCATCTTTTTAATTTATTTCCCCATCTTCTTAAACACTGACGCTGCATCTTATAGGAATATAAGAAAATAATTCTGTAAATATTACAATGTGTATGTTGTCAGCATTAATATACAGTAACACTCCTTTTCTTCAACTACATGAATAATATTCTAATGCATTATTGTTTATTTCATTGGCTGTGTGGTGTTCTGTTGGTTTCAAATTGTATTCATAGTTTTCCACTTTTACTATTTTTCCATTTTGCTTTCAACCCTGTAACTCTCTCTGTGTCTGTCTTTTTCATCATTTGTCACATAATAAGTTGCAGCTGAGCCAGCCTGTCTGGAACTGTTCTGCCATTTAATTCAGGGGAACTCAGATTTGGTGGAGCCAGAAGTAGGTCAGGCATTGACATATGTAATAGAGCTGACTGTTTCTGAAAAGAGCTTTGATTCTTTGAATCAAAATATCATGGTATTATTACTTGTCTCTATGCATTTAACTACAGAGTTACAAACAACCCCCTAATTAGGCACTTTGCACATTCATCCATTAAACAAGAAGATGAGTGACTCGTTTTTCAAAAAGGTTTTTCTAAGTCATATTAGTACTTTCAGTACTTTATTATTAGAACATGTACTGAAGAACTTTAAGCCACAGTAAACAGAAAGTAAAAATACACTTTATTTTGTTTAAATTAACAAATACTTTAATCTGAAGGTTTCTTTAAGGGGTGGATGAGCATTGGATTGATCTAGATTGAATTCATGAACTCAGAAACAGTTAAATCATTCTTAATCTTTACAGCAGTTGTTGATCTGTTAATGTAAGGTGAAAATAAATTGTTCTATGAATGTAAAACATCTAAATATCCAATAAAATTAGTATTTTTGTGAAATGAAACCACTATGAATGAATCAAATGAGTACACTTCCAGTAGATAGATTGTTAATGGCTGTAACAGTTTTCCCCAATTGCTTAGACAAATATCTTGAAATGGGGTTCACATCTCTAGACAGGTTTACCCAAACCTCAAAACTCCATCTTATTTTGCAATTTACAGTTCATTTCTGCATATTACGGGGGAAAAAGGTTCTAACAACTGAAGCACTTTCAAAATGGCGGTGCTGTGGCTCTGTGGCTCAGGATCTGCGCCTGTGGCTGGAAGGTTGCCAGTTTGTATCCCGCGGTCGGCAGAGGAATCCTATGCTGTTGGGCCCCTGAGCAAGGCCCTTAACCCCAACCTCTCCAGGGGCGCTGTATAAATGGCTGACCCTGTGCTCTGACCCCAGACTTCTCACTGTCTGTTTGTCTCATGGAGAGCAAGTTGGGGTATGCTTAAATTCCTAATATAAGAAATTGTACAGTATATGGCCAATAAAGTAATCTTATCAAAAGCAAAACAGTACATTAAACAGTAAAACAGTGCTCCGAAATGGAAAGTTGTCTTAATCATCACTTGCATCTACATTGCTAAACGCTGTATCAGTGCCACTATAGTTATTGTTTGATGTAGTTACATGTCCTTCAGACAGGACTTCAAGTCACTTAAAACCAGGATGCCTGATATACTTTTTTGTATACAGTGATGAAAACCAGCACCTTACATTAAATAATTAACTATATGCCTGATGTTACGTTCCAGTGTGTGGTTCATGTGTGCTTTGTTGTTATGTTCCACATTTCCTGACTTTGTTCTCCCTCCCCCATTGGTCCATCGTTACACCATTGTTTCCGTATTACGTCATCTTCAATTAACTCTCGACCAATCAGAACTCAGCTTATTCAGAACTTAACTTGGAGGTTTTCAGAACGAAGGGGCCTTTTCGCTTGACTTCGGTTCTGCTGGTTCAGCTTCGTTTCACTTTTGTTTCACTTTCGCTTCGCTTTGGCTTCGCTTCCCCGTTTTCGTATGTTTCGCGTTGTGTTTTCGTATAGCTTCGGCTTTGTGGGTTTGTGTTAGTCTCCGTGTTCTTTCGTTTGTCTGTGTTTATCCTGTATTTGGCCATTACCTTGCCCAAACGTGTCATGTTAACCTCTGTGCTCCTTTGGTACAAGTGTCTGTTCCTTGTGTCTACTCTTCCTTATTTGTATTCGTAGTTCACTTGTGTATTTGTGTGAACTTTTGTGTATTGGGTTAGTTTAGGTTGTTGGGTACATTCTGCACACGTAGTTGGTCTCTATTAGTAACACTAGTTTAGGATGGGTGAGTGTCTTTTGTCTTGTTTTTGGGTAGGTAGTGAAGGTTAGCCAGGGTGTTTGAAGACACAGAAGACAGAGTGTTTCGGGTTTTGTTTTGGTAGATAGGTCAGCTACCCCTCACTTTATTACACAGCTCCATTTTGTTTGTTATTTTCTTTTCTTTGGCACCACTCTAGTTCCCTTTCCCTGTTTGTTATTGTGTCCTATTTACGTACCAGTCACTTTTCACTTTAAAATAAATCCCTTTTGCACTTAAAGTTGTTGTCACGCTTCCTAAGTCCCTCACCAGAAACCCACCTGCAACCAAAACCATCCTTAATGTTACACCCCTTTACCCCTAGACACTTGGGGTCGTAACACCTGACCATTGTAATAAACTTTGATATTGAATTCAGCTTGTGGCACCTTGTGTGGCAATTGTCTGTCAAGATTTAATCAAATTGATGATTAATTAATACATTAACGAATAGAGGAATGAAGAATGTATTCCTATAGGAGCTTGAACTTCCTAAAGAACTTACATTATTGCTTCTGAGCAGCTACTGTACTAATTATGTGCAAAATTTTGTATAGAATATTAGAACAAACAGTACTGTGTACAGTATGCACAATGTTAAAAGTTTCTTAACTCTCTCTTCTGACAATAGCATTTTGTTGTTTTCCAACTATTATTATTAGAAGATGTACCATTAATAAAAGCACTTTTGTCATAACTAGTATAATGTATTATTATAAGGAAGTCCCTTATAAAGGCAAACAAACAAGAATGTTCCTTCTGTTTTATGTAGCAAAAATTTGAAATCTTGAGAAATAGTAATATAGTCATCTGGAATGTATGTAATGATGATATATTTCCTTTTTGTACATTCTCAGGCGTCCAGGCCACTAGAATTCCGAATATCTGGAGAGGACATGGAGGACAGTGAAACTCAACAACTCAGCTTAATAGACTTGCTAACATCCTCTTTGTCACAAATGGAAAACTTAATGAAATAATTTCATCCACCTAAAGGCTTCCTGACATTTCCCAGACTGCTTTTTCATATACAAAGAAGACAGTGACAGGTGAGAATGTTTGACCACACTCAAACTAGGGATCTGCAGAGACAGATGTTCCCAGCTTTTTATTTATCTTCTCTCTGGGCAGGATGTAGGAACTGTTGCAGAGACAAGGAAATACACATCCATCCTTGACAAACACTCAAATGACCACACAGTGAAAACTGTTAACTATATTGTAAATGTAATTAATTTGTTGACAGGAGATTCACTTTTAAATGAGTTTCTTCATTTGGATCAAGGTTATGAGCAGTTTTTTTGTGTGTGTGATAAACACACCTTGAATTTGGTGTGTAACAAAAGAAACCAGTAACAAAAATACTGCAAATAACAGCTTTCATTCTGTATATAAATCTTTATTATGATTTTGTAACTGTGTCATTTAAAATCAATATGGATTCATCATAGTCTGTATACTGTCATAGTGTACTGTGATAAATGGATAAGAATCTGTGTGATCTTCACTTGAAGGGCAAAAGTAAAAAAATGCAAAAAAATCATGTCAAACATTCATGAATACCTTTAAACCTCCCTTTAGTTTCTGAATAGTCATAATTCTCTGAATGACAGCTATTTTTACCAATCAGACCAATTTTTCCATAGACATGAAAATATTAGTCGGGCCCCTTGCTTTAAAAGTGAATGGAACGTTTGTTATTTTGCAAGCTAGGGAAATATTATATTTATATTGATTATATTTTTTGCAGTTCTGTTTTGCTGAATAAATGATAAATTATTGATTGACTTTGGATCTTAGGCATTTCTGAACTTTATCACCAGATAAATGATCTTATAAAAATTGAATTAAAAGATTGCGTCACTCTACCAGAGTTAGAAATACAACCTTGTGAAGTTAAGGTATCTTGTTTTTTTATATAAAGTTCATGGTGCTGTGTTTTGATTTTGTTGGTAAAATTGATGAAATTCACACGTTGTGTTGCATGCGGGTGTAGATTTGCAGTCAGCGGTATCTCATTCATTTGTTGTTTTGTTTTTAGAAAATAGTTTCATTGCAGTGAAAACAAACTTGATGGTTGTATTTACAGAATATTGGAGATCAGTTGCATTTGTTATACATCACAAAAAAATATTTAAAATATGTTGTTTATGGAAATGAAATGTGTAACCGCAAATGTATGCATTGAGTCGGACCTGTCCAACAGGGTGGCATAAACAAAAACATCAAAAACACTGGAATAATCATTTTCTATTTTACAGAAATGCCTGCTTGCTAGATCTGACTGAGATTCATTGTGCAGCCTCCAGGTCAGTACAGTGTGTCTTACAGAGACATGCTACAAGTGAATTCTATCTTCCTACATTTCTACAGTTCCAGCTCTTTGCAGACATAAACATGATAGATATTTCTGTGTTCAGAAGAGACTTGAAGTAAATCTATGGGCAGGTAGCTGAGTGTTTAGATCCATTTCCTTTTATCAATGACTAAATAGGGCTTGTTTGGTTATTTGTTATTGAGAAATGACATTTTAGCTTTAATCCATAGAATTATTTGTATATAAAACTTTTTTCCATGCAAATATTGACTTGGAAGATATTTGACAATTGAAAATATGACCATGCAAAAATATTCCATGAAATATACTGTTCATGAAACAATAATTACAAATGAAAAAATAACAGTGAAGTAGAAAAACAAGTTAAAAAAGACTTTTCTAAGCACTAATGCAGATTAATGATCATTTAAAATGACTAAACCTTTCAGATCCATTATTCATGACACACTGCTGCCCTTACTTCTTTCAGCTTGAGAGAAATACAGTAATAATAGGACTTAACAATACCTGATTTGAAAGCAGCTTATTCTGGAACGACTGACATGTTTAATGATGTACAACACTTTTATTGGCAATGGTTTCAAATTGTACAGGTGAATAACATTTTGAACAGCTTGAGCCTCCTTTGACAGCTGTGTATAACATTCCTATCAACAGGGTCTAACTAGACATTTCTCATGCAAACTGACTCCTTACTTACATCATCCCTGGCATTTAATAACCTGGAGTTCTTTTAAGGAAGCTTGCTGAGATGTCCCTCATAAAGAATGTTGAAAAAAATAAGAACAGATAAATGCCCTTTAAGTAGTTTTTTGATTAACTGCTTCATATTCCAACCAACAAAGGACTTCTTTATGACTTCTGAGACATTACTCACTGCTATTGCTAATTATTAGATTTTATCTAGAATGTTTTAAACAAATGACACAGAGCCTTCAAACCATTATTTTTTTAAAGACAGTAGTAAATATTATGTACTATATTATTATGTATTATATTGACATTTTATTTTTATATATCACAACGTGTTATAAATAAATAAATTGAAAATATGAAAGAGCAAATATGAATTAATGTGAAAAAAACAGTTCAACCTGTTCAATCCAATTAAAAAATACTACATCCCAATGGGGGCAATTCAAGACAAGTCTTACAGCAAGTCTTAAAATGAAATAGTATATTGTAGCGAATGCGGGTTCTTGGGCTTGTGCCCTTGCTGTACCCCAGTTCATCCTTCACCAGATGGGCTCAAACCCGGGTCTCCGGCATCACTCAACATTGGTCTTGCAGGCTGAACTAAAGCAGATCTTCCTCAGCCCGGGCGGCCAACATCCCTGTTATGTGCTGGGGAGGGCGGTGACGTCACCATGCTGCAACCAGCTCATGCAGCCTGCATGTATGATAAAAAAACTGTGTTTTCAGGTGTGAAATATCTGCTATAACAATGACGAATATAATTGGGATTCTCTCACAATAAAATACTATGCAAACTATATTCATATTTTTGTAATTGAACATTCTAGTCAAATATTAATATGAATATGAATAATCATGTAATAACATGAATAAACCTCCAGAGCTTCTCCAAGGCTTTCTGAAAGAGCTCGGGAGGGGATGTTTTGTGCCAGCCAGCGCATTATCGGCACTGAAACCGAACTATAATAACGTATCTGATCACTATTAATGAGATTCAATTATTAAAAATAACAATTTAAAACTGTATTTTGTTCAGGGTCATTTGTCACTGTTTTCACAACCTTCGCTTTCTTATTTAAACTCCTATTTTTGAGACAGGATGCCAATAACACACAGAACCTTCAAACCATAGGCATTTTAAAGACACAACTTTTATATAAACAATATCTAGTACCCGGTTCAATTTTCAAAATTTTCAAAAGCGAATCCCAGATGTAAACGAGCTCATAAAGCCAGAATTACTTTCCCTACGTCTGCGAAACACCTGACCGTATACTGTAAAGCTTTCAGTGCTTTGTTTGTGTCCAATCGCAATGGGGGGAGGGTGTGTGGGGAAAGGTTTACTTGAAACATTGTTTTCTCTGAAAACGTTTTCTTCCCTCTTTAGTTGATCTTTTGCAGCATACGCATGCTGACGCAGCTCCCTACATAAATTCTCGTTCTTGACTGAGAAGGCTTTAGAGAACTTTACAACCATTTTTAATTTCTTTGTGATGCAAGTTTGAAGTGCAATGACAAATCACACCAATTGTAAATATGATGTTTACATTGACGTTTTTATTAATTTTACACTTAAGCATATGGAGGAGTTTTAGATGTCAAGGAGAGCCCCTCCCCTCCCTAGTTGGGCAATTGAGTTAACTATCCAGCCATTGCAAAAGGTGTAACTGATGCAGCCACAAATAAATAAAAAATAACCTTTTTTTCTCCTGATTGTAATTGTAGCAAAGTGTCACGTTATACTTCCTTGTGTAACAATCATGACATTCTCATCCAAACAAAGGTTTGATTTTTTTTATTTCGAAACCTTGGTTGGTATGCCTCACGGACTCATTCATGGAGTAATCCAAACAAAAGAGCTGCTGGGCGCACCGTGATCTTGACATGCATGTGTAAAGTAGAGTTAACAGCTTCAGATTTCAAAGGTTGTTAATAATATCTTCTGTATCACATTAACATTGGAACATTCTTACAAGTCTAAAAAGAGGCGATACACGTGTCTCCTTTATAACTCTTTACAGAAAAATTCTGCCGGAGCCACACAACATCCAATAATACTCTTCTTGAGTCTAATTTTTAGTTTAGCAGGATTTGCGCATTAAGCACATTGTTTAATGGGGATGACATTACCCACGTCCATATCACTGTACTATACAGGTTTGAGTCAGGAGTGTGTGTTAATTGAACAGAGTTCCATCCAATACATATAACTACTGCATGATTTCTTTATCCGTTTCAGCTAAATGAGGGGAATTAAATCAGTCAGAATCCCAGAGTGCCAATTGTAAAAATAAGTCTTCTTCCCTCCTTTGTTTAACTTAAAGAATTTCTCAAAGAAATCCTTAATCACAATATCATCAGTTAATTCATCCAGATACACAAATTCACACCAGAACCAACAAGCTATAATAGTGGACTATTCTTATGTATTCACTATATAAGAAACAAACCCAAAGTGAAACTCTGATCGCGCTGTGAACCATTGGGTGCAGTGCTTTGTCCATTACCACTACAAGGACAATAAAAATTTTTTTAAAAGAAATGGATGTCAAAATGTTTCTGAAATTTTAGTTGCTTAGTTTCACGATTCCATATTCATATAACTATAAAGTGATGTTAAATTACTACAACATTTATCTTTTTACAATAACAGCAAGTTGTGTTCTTACTGTGTATTCTTAGAAAAGGATAAAACATTATAACTTTTTATTAAGTACAGTATATTAACTTTATATTAGGACAAGCTTGTTAAAACCATAACCCACTGTAAGTTACAAAGTTAAAGACTTGGTGCATAAAATATTTTATGAAGAGGGTAGAATACTGTTCCTATCACTACCATCTGCTGTGCGTACATTAGATTATTGTATATACAGTATTACATTACAGTAATGTTTTTGTTTTCTGTTACCAAAATTTACCTTTGGATTTTCTCTATGTGAATGTAAAGCTAAAAAAGGCACATCACGTTCACAAGCTACAGCATAATAGTTTAAAATTAGTAAAGGTCTAAACAGTGTACAGCTTAAATTCAATAATTAGAAAAAACTTGTCCCTCAGCATAGACTGGGATCCGAAACCAGGCGTTTTCTGGTAACAGCCAAAATGCTCCACAGGTCCCATTAAGCTTTTACAGCTCCACCTGGTGGTTTTACAAAGAACTGTAGTTTAATTACTGACACTTTCTAAAATGTCGCTGTCTCCCGCAGTCTACTGCAGACTTGGGCAGCTGCTCAACTGCAAACTACTGCAGTATCCCTTGCGCATTCTGAATGGCTGGATCTGTAGGCCTTACATTGCTGCTCCATTCACATTTCCATGAATATGTTACACATAAGTCAAGACGGCTCCACAGCGGAAACATTTTTTTCCTCTTTTACTTTTCATCATAGTTATGGTGCAAACATGTTTTCTCAGATAATTAGACTTGATGAATGGTTTAATATAAAATCAGTCGTCAAGCCACAACAGTACAATAACTACATTTCTGTCTCTTTTCCATAGGAAGGGTCAATGTGTTGTTGATGGTTAGAAAGGCTAGAAATTGGTGTTAACCCTCACAATCTTGTCTCCACTGTACACCTACAACCAGAGATCAGTAGCCAGTTAAGACCCTTTTCCCACCCAATTATCCTGTATTGCAAAGGGTGAGGGGCCTCTTTACCACAGCCACACTCTCTGGTTCACTCATTTCATTTATAACTTACAATAACTGATCACTGGTGCTGAGATAAACGCTCCAGCTGTACTGAAACACATGGAAGCCACTAGCTCACAGCCGAGAGCCTCACATGCATTTGATATCTTGCATCGCAAGAATTTGTATTTAAGGATAAGTTATTGTACCTCTGTATGTTATTTCGGACAAGTGAGCTTCATAAATAAATATACTGAAGGCTCAAAAGCATAAAAGAATGAAGATTTGATAAGAAGATATACTGTATATATACTGTATAGAATTTGTGTAAATGCAAAAAAGCCTTCATTTTAATTTAAGTGTATATGGAATTTTATATACCAATCATACCATACACATGAACCAAAGGACAACAATGAAACTAAGAGGATGCACATTTAAAACTGAAAACAGAAATCGTTTCAATACACAAAGAATAGTGGGGCTCCAAAACAAACGACCCAGCCATGTTACCAAAAAACAAAACTCTGGCTTCTTTGATACAGCAGCTGGACGAAACCCTCAAGTGAATTAGCTACTAAAAATCTAAAAGCTTGATGAAATTGAATGATCTCTCTGTTTGTTCTGCAAACTTCCTTATGGTATCGTTCTGCAACTTAAAAAAATTTAAACTTTAAAGAACTGTGGCCAGTCTTGCAATACTGACTGAAATATTTTAAAAAACAATAAAGCAGACCTGTCTGAAAGTACTGGGTGGATTAAACCCCCTGGCTATTATCTGTAGAAAATAAAAAAAAAACTTTCTTAAATTGAGCTTTGTCCTGTTAGTTATTCTAATTTTATATTCAAAGCTAAGTAGCTCTCATTGTAACTATTGTTATGTCTGATAATATTAAAGGTGAGTAATGTTATAATGAAGGTACTGTAACATTTAGACTCTATTTCAATTTATAAATTCAACACTTTGATATTTTATTTATTGATCACCCTTTAGTCAACACATAAAATGTTCATATTTCATCAATATTTTTGGAGGTTCCAAAAATGTTGTTTTTTTGCACTTTTCAGATTATTGTAAATTCCAAATTATGTTGTTCTTGTACTTATTTAAACTGTGATGACATTTAGAAATTATTGGAAAATACAGATTTGTACACATTTGTTTTATTATTTAAAATAATTAAATAAAAATATTTAGGTTTTTCTTGTTGGACTCTTACATTTATGTTATACCTTGTTGGACAGCTGTTTTTGGAAAGAACACAAGGCAATACAGTGTCCTTTTTAATGTAAAGTGTTAAAATGTTTTTAGAACTAGGCTTCATTAAACATCTTATCCAGAATCTGTGACTCAGGACTACTGCATTTTAAATAGAGCCTATTTTAATGAAGTAGAGCGTTTCAGCAAGATTCTCTCAATTTAATTAAATGAAATATTCAAAGACAGTTTAAGGATTAAATCCACTTGCTGAAAAGTACAGAAAATCAATGGAACTGCATCAGTTCATATAGCTAAACAAACTTCCCAATCTAAAATTGATAAGTAACAGAGACTGCCAAGAGGGAGCAATAGAATTTAAAAGGGTGATTATAATGTTATAGCAGCTTCTGCTTTTCTTCTAATATTGTATGTCTTTCGCCAAGATCAAGAGCACAGAAATTGCTGCCGGGAACAATGAGGAATCTGTAATGATCAGGACATCCAAGGAACAAGGTACACTACATGTGAATTTACCTGTACATAAATAAATTGGAAGATAGATATTTGCCTATAGTCAATACATAGTTGGTTTCTGACACTAGGCCAAGATTAGCATGATAGGCAGAAGTTGCCTTCCAAGACTGAACTGGAATTTTAGTGGATATCTGTTCTTTAAATGGCAGAAAGAGCTTAATTACGGTATGTATTTTTAATGCACAAAATATAAACACGGGCATTTCCCAGTTGCATTTTCAATGTATGTGGTTTGTTTGTGGTGTGTCATTTTTTGTGACAGCTGTAGGTAAATCGGAAAACAGTCAAAGTTACAGTACACTACTAAGCTTTTAATAGAACTTGCCTTAAGCATTCTAGAAGAACATCTGTGTACATCTCCAGTAGCGTAGAATAATTTAATCACAATGCACACTTGCAGAGATGGCAGTGAATGTTAGAAATGAGAAAAAATTATTTTTTGGACATTTGTTTGTCCGTTGTCCATATCAAACAAAACAAATCACTTAAATGGAAATCATTGCATAAGCATTGCAAATATGCCATAGCTTATAAAAAAGGGGACATTATTAAGTTCTTGAAGTCAAGTTCAAGTTTATTGTCATGTGTATCTGGGTGCAATGAATTGTATACTTGCGTGTTTCCGCACAAAAAAACTGACATCACAGATTGTTGGACACAGGGAAATAAGACAATAGCACGAGTGCCAACAACATAGTGGAAAGTAACAGTGTAAAATACACATAGAAGCAGTATGCATAAACGTACTGTTAGCAGCAATATGTATGAAATTAGTACAGAATACAAACAGAATACAATAACTGTAGTATGACGGTACAGTGGCTCTGTGGCTAGGGATCTTCTCCTATAGCTGAAAGGTTGCTAGCTCAAATCCTGCAGCTGGCAGAGGAATCCTACTCTGTTGGACCCCTGACCAAGGCCCTTAACACAAGCTGCTTCAGGGGTGCCGTATAAATGGCTGACCCTGTGCTCTGACCCCAGGCTTCTCTTCCTGTCTCATGTGTGTCTCATGTAGAGCAAGCTGGGGTATGTGGAAAAACAAATTCCTAATATGAGAAATTGTATATGGCCAATAAAGTTATTTTATCTTATACATTAGAAGGTAACAACTGTAACCTTCAGCAGCATTCAAATAGCAGCAATATGCAAAAAAGTAGTGAAAGGATTGTGCAAAAGCAGGGAGTATAACTGGGAGTAAGAGGATTAAGAGGTGGTGTTCAGATGTCTTTCTTTGAACCTAGAGGTTCAGGCTTTTATACCAAATATTCTGCCAGAAGGAAGAAGAGAGATGAGTGCATTCCCAGGGTATTTTTGATCCTTAATTATATTATTTGTCCTTCTGATAATGGTGGGGAGTTCTATACCAGTGGTGGCCAGGACTGACTCAACCACCTTCTGACATTTTTTATGTTTCTAAGCTAAGCAAAAACCATACCAAACTGTAATACATCCAGTGAGAATGCTCTCTATTGAACATCTGTAGAAATTTGTAAGTGTTTATAAAGACACACCAAATCTCCTAAGTCATCTAAGGAAGTAGAGGTTCGAGTGTCCTCTCGTGATCGCTTCATCTATGTTGGTGATGTGACTGCCCAGGAACATGAAGCTGCTGACCATCTCCACAGTAGCCCCATTGATACAGACAGGGGTGTGGCCTCCTCCCTGCTTCCTGAAGTCAACATCCAGCTCCTTAGTTTTGCTCATGTTGAGGGTGAGGATGTTGTCCTGTTGTCTATTATTTCCTTGACCTCTTTCCTGTACTCCGTTTCATCATCATTTGTGATCAGACCTAAAATGGTGGTGTCATCAGCAAACTTCAAGATGAAGCTGGAGCTGTGTCTAGCCACACGATTGTGGGTGAATAGGGAGGACAGCAGCGGACTGAGCACACAGCCCTGGTGGACTAAAGGGTGGTCCACCCTTTAGGAAATCCGGGGTCCAATTACAGAGAGACGTACTAAGGCCCGGTTCCAAAAGCTCGGTGCCCAACGTGAATGGGATTATAGTATTAAATGCTATAATTATAATCTATGAATAGCAATCTGTTTGAGGCGTTTATATTGTCTAAGTAAGTTAAAGCAGTGTTTAAAGGAAGGGAGATGGCATCAACTGTGGATCTACAATATTCACTTGACTATATCACCTACAGTTACAGAGCTCTGGAGCTCTGAAGCAATAGAGCCTTAAAATCCACAAGATTTATTTTCTTGAGTAAATTAATGCTCAGAGACAATTTTACAAAAATAATTTACATGAGTGCAAACCAGACTCCTCACTAATAAAATTACATGCTACATTGCCAGTAAATATAGAATTCATGATTTATTATATTTAAATAGAATTCATTCCCACAATAATCACATTATGAAGATATCTAGATACAAATAAAAAAACAACCCAAATATAATATGGAACCAGATCTGTTCTTACCATATAAAAGAACTTTACAAGAAGGAGAGTGAGCTTGAAATAATCATTTAACAGCAACCAGACTTAACCTATATAACCCAAACCATTCATCCGAACATCTTTCTCTTGGTTTCCCCATTGGTATTCAACTGAGATCTTTTTAAAAAAGTGGTCTTGCTCTCAGGTCTCAGGTTTGTCCAAAAACATTCTTTAACTGCATCTGCATTCCTCCATCTCAGTGTCCTCGCAATCATCTTTTTAAAGAATTATGCTAAAACCTTCCTATGGTTGAAACCTTCCTATAGAGCCAACCAACATCTGTGTAAGTGTGCAATGCAGAGTAAATAAAGGTTCTTTCCATGCTTCGGGTCTTCCACACATGAAGAAGGCTCCACTGCTGAAATGTTGTGTTTCTTTTCTGCTCTTTTCAGCATGGAATAAACCTTTACTTGTTCCTTTGCAGCCTACGCATGCTGATGCAGCTACCTACTTGAACTACTTCAGCCTACTTCTGCTGTGACCCACTATGCCTTCTGCTAAATCTTTTTCTAGATCTCTTCATCATACCTTCTCCTCCTGCCTGGGCTACATGCGACCTCCTCTCACCAAACCAGCTTTCCGCCTCCTCACAGCAATCTGTTGCAAGACCAAACTTTCTAACCACCTCCTCTGTCCTTGTCATCATTTTAAGGCTCCACAGCCGAAACTTTGTGTTTCTTTTCTTCTCTTTTCAGCATAGAATAAACCTCTACTTGTTCCACTTGTTCCAGAGTAAATACTGGACCTGAATTAGAGTGACTTCTTTTAGCAAGGAAATAGTGGAGGAAATGCACCACAACATTGGGAATTTTCATACATAGTCCTGTGGACCCCCATTCTAATGAAATCAGCATAGCCTGTGCTTATTCCCATTATACAAGATCTAGGATCCAACAGAGTGTTGGATAAGCAGTAGAATACTGTTGTATATGGGTAAATAACGGGGTAAAAATGTTTTCTTTAAGACTTAGCACTAATTTGAAAAATGCATGTAATTTAGAAAATCTGCAGTACAGTATGTGAAAATAATCTCTAATCTCATCAGATATTTCTCCTGAGTGCAACAATCTATGGAATCTGAGCTGAATTATATTCGGATGCCTTAGGAAAAGAGAATTAAAAGCAACAAATTTAATTTCTTAACAGAATAACATAAAATTACAGGGGTAAACAGCCCATTACCATTCCCTTTAAAGCAATAATAATGCAATCATGCAGTTGCAGACAATTTTTAATTGAAAATTCCACCGTATCACTGGGTTTTTATATACTAGAGTAGGCTTATGATATTCATTTTATGTGTCCTGTTACAATTTGTTACCTTAAGCAGCTAAACAGATCTGTTATCTCCAAAGGGAAATGGTACTTGCTAAATCACTTCTGCTTATTTATAGTTTCAAGTCTACCTTTGACTTCTTTGCTTTTACTCTGAAGACCTTTAGCTAGACAACCTTACATTTTAATAAAGAAAATTTAAAAGATAGACATTGTAATGAGGAAATAATTATAGGTCTGAAAAACACTCAATTGTTAACAGCTATTACAGTAATTCAGTAATACAGTAAGGTGAAGTTTTTTGGATAATGTACATTTTTAATGTCTAAATATGATATTTAGAAGTTGTTGGTTTTGTTCGGAATTAATTTTTATATCTGTTTTCTTACAAAACCTTTAAGGATAACACAAAAAATGTTTTATTCTTGGTTCACTGTCTTTGTGACACATTAACAAATTATAACCTTTTTATATCTTATTGTTTTATGAGAAATGACACAATTCTATCACAGTAGGTTAATTTTATTTAAGTGCAAAACTGTTTAAAAATCCACCTTTAACTTTTGGAACTTTAATTGCATCATTACATATGGGCACAACTTCAGAAGACTGACTGGACCAATACATTCATTGTATGCATACTGTACACTGTCATTTTTCACATCCTAATTATTAAATTGTGATTTGCATTCGGATTCATAAAGGGCCAAAATTTACATCAGTGTAATGAGAAGACCACTGGGATTTTATGATAAATGTCAACAGCCTAGAAATCTCAGAATCTGCTAAGTACTGTAGTAGATATGAACAGCACAACACACAAATACTCTAGCACACTAAAAAGAAGATAAAATGCAAGCAAAAACTGGTTTGATATTGCCAGTGGTAATCTTACTGAATGGTGTTGTTTTGAAAATACTTTGAGATGTGCACTATACTGTACCTTTAGTTACAGTACATCATGAATGACAACACAAAGATGTTTCAATGTTGTACTTGTTCTCATACAGTGTGAGCTCTTAAAATTGTTTCAATCTCAAATCACACATTGACCTGCTTTGTCACTGTACTTTAAACCATCTTGCATCTGTGGGACAAGAATGTCATTTGTCCATTAAGTAACAAGTAAAGGTTTATTCTATGCTGAAAAGAGAAGAAAAGAAACACAAACGTTTTGGCTGTGGAGTCTTCTTCGGGTGTGACACCTTGAGTGACACCTTCGGGTGTGAAACCCGAAGAAGGCTCCACAGCCAAA